CCAAGTCACCCTGAACCTACCCCCCAGCCTGTGATTGGACAGTGAAAGGAGAAGCAGCACAGTGATGAGCTCATCTCTCTGTCACTCTGCTCTCTCTTCCTATCAGCATGCTCGGTATCAGCACATAACTCTACTTCCTGTGCAGCTGTTGCTTCCACTCACACCCCATCTCTATCCACCGCAAGAGGCTGATACCAGGTCAGATTTCAGGTCCTTACACTGCTTGCATTAAAATAAAAATACGTTTACTGATGTATTTATTGACACAGAGCTGCATTCGTCTGTAACTTTTATATCTGAATGGAGTTCAGCTTTAATGACCATATACACAATAAATATATAAGGCCCCATTAATATCCAATGACCTCTGTGTTATGACATCATCACGCATGCGCAGTGATGTACTTGACTGCCAGTGATGGACACCAGCAAAGAGAGGAGGGGATATTGACCCAGTGGGATCAGATATGCCACCGTGTCCCCCCTCTCTCTCATGTGCTCTTGGGCCATGACCCAATTCCTGTTTTCTAAGAGGGGGTGAGTGTCAGTCATTTTTGATGTCGCGCCCACTGAAGGTGCGCACCCCCTGTCCCCCTCCCCCCCCCTTGTAACTCCACTGGTCTATGACGTACGTTGTATAGCGATCTTCGATTGACATGTTTCCTTAAAGCAGTTGCGTCACTAGTGGGGTGCCGGCAGTGCGTTCCGTAACCCGGGTGAAACCATTGGAGGCGTGACACCAAAATGACTGACAGTCATTTTGGTGTCACCCCCTCTGAAAAGTAGGGCACTTGGTCAAGGAACCTGAGAGCCTGACAGTTGCAAGAGAGAGGAGGGGACCCAGCGCATACCTCATCCCGCCGGGTGAACGTCCCCTCCTCTCTCTGCCGACGTCCATCACCAAGATGACCGATGACGTCACGGCGGCACCTGCTCCGGGTGACACCCGGCCTCAGGACGCCCCTTCTTATAGTGACAGTGTATTTTGCAGCGGGGTGTGTGCACCCGGTCAGCGGATGCACATGGACTGGCCCGGAGCAGCACCCAGTACATGTGACAGTGGACATGACACGATACGAACGTAAAAGTCAGATTTTTGCAGAACGAACGGCTCTGCGTATATCTTATAAATACTCAATCTACCCCAGGCCGCCTGGGTCGCTATGGTGATTGTTACGCCACTGATCTACCCCTAATGTGGAAAAGACGTCTGACCCTTGTTCTTTATAATATTGGACATAGTCACCTGTGACCACGGGCCCCAAATGTTTCCGGGGGTCACTTGGGCAGGCTGGTCGGATGAAGGTTTGTGTGTATCTGAGGAGGAGTAGTGTTGCTATTGTAGATCAGAGTCGGCGTTGTTGTTGTGTTTCTCTAGTGCAGTAATATGGACTTTCTGGTGTAGAAGAGAAGGAAGCGTTGTGGTATCCTGGGGGGGAGGGGGCGTTCTCTAAGAATGAAACCGAGCTAGCAGGAATATTTCTATTCAGAGGTACAGGTGAAACTCGAATAATTAGAATATCGTGCAAAGTTCATTTGTTTCACTAATGCAACTTAAAAGGTGAAACTAATATATGAGAGAGACTCATTACATGCAAAGCAAGATAGTTCAAGCCGTGATTTGTCATCATTGTGATGATTATGGCTTACAGCTCATGAAAACCCCAATAACCCCAAATCCACAACCTCAGAAAAGTAGATTATTACATGCAATCAATAAAACAAGGATTGTACATAGAACAATATCGGACCTCTGAAAAGTACAAGCATGCCTATGTACTCAGTACTTGGTTTGGGCCCCTTTTGCAGCACTTACTGCAATTACTTTTGCACGATATTCTAATTATTCGAGTTTCACCTGTAGATTGAAGTGAAGATCCGAAATTAAAGTAGAATTAAACTCTCAAACATTTTCACGAAATAATTCAGATCAACTAAATACTAGGGGCGCACCGATACCGAATACCGGACGTCCCATTAAGGAAGCCAGGCGGCGTTTAAAGACTCGCCACCTGGCAGTTGTGGCAATCAATGCCAGGGTGTCATTTGCAGTGGTGTATTTACAAATGCTGCTGCCCTAGGCAAAACAGCAACGCCGCCCGTACTGACGGCAGACCGTCATCATCAGCAGCACACACACACACACCCCCCCCCCGGGTTGACGCCGCCTCACCATTGGCACAAGCCTCCGATCACCACTCACCCGGCACGGCATTCAAAGCGCCGCTGCCTGCTGGACACCGCCGCAGCCCGCCGTCCTCGTCCCCTCAAAGCGCCGCTGCCTGCTGGACACCGCCGCAGCCCGCCGTCCTCGTCCCCTCAAAGCGCCGCTGCCTGCTGGACACCGCCGCAACCCGCCGTCCTCGTCCCCTCAAAGCGCCGCTGCCTGCTGGACACCGCCGCAACCCGCCGTCCTTGTCCCCGCCGGCCGTCCTCGTCCCCGCCGCTACTATAGCCTCCGGTTCTCTTCCCTTGATGAATAAATGTATCAAGGGGAGAGAACCGGAACCACAGCAATTGCCGCTCTCAGGGAATCTGCCGCTCCAGGCAAACGCCTTGTTTGCCTCGCGGCAGATACGCCCCTGGTCTTTTGGCCATATAGTCACCCAGGTCTTTCAGCCAGGGGGGAGCTGAGCAGCTCCAGAAAGCACAAACGTTTACTGGGAACGAGCTGGCTTTGCAGTTCTTCCCGGGTTTTCCGGATTTGGCTCGGGTTCCTGGAACTGGGAGATTTCAAAGAGCATTGGGAGGGATGGAATCTCCATTCCTGGGTCCGGACTTTAGTAGTGACCAGCACTTAGTGGTTGTGCACCTGTGCAAAGCTCTTACGAGGAGAATTCTGGTTAATGTTCAGGGCTCCACCTGGAAGACAGAGGAGGTCTCTGTGCAGGGGTCTGGAGGGCTCCACCCTGGAACCAGCCTGTGTGGCAATACACCGGTGTGGTGAGGACCGGCCTGTGTGACTGTGAGAGAAATAGACAAAGCTAGAGGACCAGAGGGTCCAAACGACTAGATGCTGGAGGTACAAGACAAGAAGCCTAATCAGTGTTTTTGTTGCCAGTACCGTGTGCACTATTTGTTGGATATTTTTTTACTTTTGAACCAATAAAAGTGGGCAAAGAAGCCCTAAAAAGAAAACTAAAGCGAGTGGAAGTGTCCTTAACGCACTACCGTTTGGAGCTAATCCTCACACAGTGAGGCCGTCTCCTGGCCAATCAGAAAGCCAGGCGCCGTGTAATTAAAAGTAATTCACCGGCACACACTTGACGGGTTTTTAAAGTATTGATATGTTTATTCAATACCCAATGTCACATACGGTGCTAACATTTCAGGTCCGCACAGGGATCCTTCATCAGAGCCACAGTGACACTGACTCTGATGAAGGATCCCTGTGCGGACCCGAAACGTTAGCACCGTATGACAGTATGTGATGAAGGATCCCTGTGCGGACCCGAAACGTTAGCACCGTATGACAGTATGTGACATTGGGTATTGAATAAACATATCAATACTTTAAAAACCCTTCAAGCGTGTGCCGGTGAATTACTTTTATTTGCTATTAGTGTTTTCCACGGCGCCATCCGTGTGGTCACCTGGACACCACATATACCTTGTGGTTTTGAGACCGTGGCAGTGCGAATGGGATTTGGACTTTGTTGTGAGGCACTGTGTAATGACGCAGCGCCGGGCTTCCTGACGAGGGAGTACTCGCGCAAATATTTGGCATGGGCACCGATTCCGATACTAGTATAGGTGACGGTGCATCCCTACTAAATACACATCACCCAGGCAAGTTTTTCTTTACTTTTTTTGTCCAAACATTTACAGTCATCATGTTTCCAGGCAGCTCCAACTCTCTCAGCTTTGCCTCCCTGAACCTCCTGTCTAGTACAAGATCACAAGGGACAGAGCAGTCTCCAGCAGCCGTCCATCTACTAGCTTGGAGAAGGGACGAGTCGTGATCAGGGGGAGGTGAGCGTCTTGCCTTGCTGTACCTGTGGGTCAGTGGAGACACACAAAACTCACTAGCACACACAAGGGTGGCTCCATTAGGACCCAACAAGGCAAAGCAGCCACAATAAAACAGGATATCAGGACCAGTGCTCAGGGGACCAGCCGATTCTACATGAATCCCGGTCTCCCGGACTATATGATTGATAGTCATTTTGGTGTCACCCGCTATGAAAAGTCGGGCACTCGGTCACGGACCGAGAGCCCAACAGTGTCCAGAGAGACACTCATCCTCATACATACCTCATCCTGCCGGGTGAACGTCCCCTCCTCTACGACCGCGCATGCGCAATGACGTCACGGTGTCACCCGGTCTCCGCTCCGGGTGACGCCCAGCCTCGGGACGCCCCTGGGTGGATGCGTGCAGGTCCATGCGGTCAGGGATGGTGTCGGCCATTCATTGAAGTTAGTGGAGCCGATTGTATTAACATAAAACAAAGCTGCGAACATCTGTCCTTCATTGGCTGAGCACAGTGCCGTGTATATCATCACCGACCACACTGCGGATTGTAGGAGCCGATGCCATGACATTGGTACCATGCTCACTCATAGAAAACACAACTTCTCCAGATATGGATCTTGTCTTGAATTGCATTGTAATGTCTTCCTTATATTGTACAGTGCTGCGCAAACTGTTGGCGCTCTATAAATCCTGTATTATAATAATAATAATACCATAGCTGGTAAATGGTGCAGACGGCTTGATGTGTTAATGACATGCAGCAGACATGAAACCACATCCAATACACACAGCATGGGGTGTGAATGGCAGAGAAGTGAGGACAGCTGGCTGATATGGGACTACATGTCTAATCATCTGTCAGGGACCCGATCACACGGCGCGTCCAACACTGACCAACGCAGACTCAACACTGACCAACGCAGACTCAACGCAAGACTCAACACTGACCAACGCAGACTCAACACTGACCAACGCAGACTCAACACTGACCAACGCAGACTCAACGCAAGACTCAACACTGACCAACGCAGACTCAACACTGACCAACGCAGACTCAACACTGACCAACGCAGACTCAACACTGACCAACGCAGACTCAACACTGACCAACGCAGACTCAACGCAAGACTCAACACTGACCAACGCAGACTCAACGCAAGACTCAACACTGACCAACGCAGACTCAACACTGACCAACGCAGACTCAACACTGACCAACGCAGACTCAACGCAAGACTCAACACTGACCAACGCAGACTCAACGCAAGACTCAACAATGACCAACGCAGACTCAACACTGACCAACGCAGACTCAACACTGACCAACGCAGACTCAACACTGACCAACGCAGACTCAACACTGACCAACGCAGACTCAACGCAAGACTCAACACTGACCAACGCAGACTCAACGCAAGACTCAACACTGACCAACGCAGACTCAACACTGACCAACGCAGACTCAACACTGACCAACGCAGACTCAACACTGACCAACGCAGACTCAACACTGACCAACGCAGACTCAACACTGACCAACGCAGACTCAACACTGACCAACGCAGACTCAACACTGACCAACGCAGACTCAACACTGACCAACGCAGACTCAACGCAAGACTCAACACTGACCAACGCAGACTCAACACTGACCAACGCAGACTCAACACTGACCAACGCAGACTCAACACTGACCAACGCAGACTCAACGCAAGACTCAACACTGACCAACGCAGACTCAACGCAAGACTCAACACTGACCAACGCAGACTCAACACTGACCAACGCAGACTCAACACTGACCAACGTAGACTCAACGGAAGACTCAACACTGACCAACGCAGACTCAACACTGACCAACGCAAGACTCAACGCAAGGACACTCGGAAAACAATTGTGCTCCATGGGCCCCGTGCACACCATAAATGTCCATTGGTGGGTGCAGAATGTTTACAAGGCCACACGTAGAGTTAAATGAGGATGTGAAAGTGTCAAAGGGAAATAAATGTTTAAAAAAAAGGAAGCGCGGCGATACGTTATAACAACAATGATACAAGTGTCCTATTATAGATATACAGTATTACAGGGGTCAGCAACCCCCGGCACGCGTGCCCAGCCTGGCACGCGAGACCTTGACAGCTGGCACGCAACGTTATTCTTTATCTGCAGGGCATTCTTGTAGTTGTAGTCTTGTAGTTGACAGCTCGAGCCGGCTGTCAATTACATTCCTGGCCCGCCCACCTCCCTCACGTGACTGAGCGGCAGAGGCGCGCTGAGGAGGCCCTCAACTTAGTCTGCGCAAGCGCTTGCCTGGATGATCCCTCATGTACCAGCCCGCGCAGACAGGGCCGGCTCACCCGACGGGATGATTACCGCACCCTGCCCGACAGGAGGATTTCAACACCATCCTGCCAGAGAATTATATACATTACATCCCATTTATAGCACACACACATATATATATATTGTATCCCATTATAGGGCATGATATTCCATTTTATACATATTATAGCATATTATAGATACATTATATCCCGCTGGAAGGGTCTGATTACAGTATACTCAGTAGACATGCGCAATTTGTTTTGTTCCAAATTGACGAATTTTCGTATATTCTGATGCATCCGAGTGTAGGCCCCCCCCCCTTCCCCAATTCATACCAGACCCCCCAAAAAAACATGGCTTCCCTTCTAAAATTACAAACCAGACCCTTAATCCAAGCACTGGCCTGGCAGGGCAGGAAAGGGGGGGGGGCGACACACACGAGCGAGCACCCCTCTCCCTGCGCCATACCAGGCCACTTGAAACCACAGGGTGCTTTGCCGGGAGGGGCATCCGAAAACTCATTTTGTCCCCATGCCGATGAGGACAAAGGCAGGGGGGCTTATTTGCATCTGGGTACCCCCTTTCATAAAGGGGGCACCCAGATGCCACCCCCCCTGTTGTAAATGAGTAAGGGGTGGTTGTACCAAGGGGGGGGCGCTCACTCGTCCCCCCCTTTTCCTGCTCTGCCAGGCCACTGCCCGGATTAAGGGTCTGGTTTGGAATTTTAAAGGGAAACCCACTTTTTTTTACATTGGGGGTACCCCCAACATTTCTACCAGACCTAAAGGTTCTTTTGGTATTTTAAGGGGGACAAAACGTTTCCCCCCCCCATTTTTTGGGGAGTTGCAGTCCCCCTTAAAATTCCTACCAGACCTAAAGGGTCTGGTAGGACTTATAAGGGGAACCACACCCACAAGGCACAGGGACTTCCTCCTGACAAACCTGCACCCAATCTAATCTTTTGCCCCCATGTGCTCCAAGATGGAGACTCTCATAGTTTAGAGTTAGGACCGCACTATACACAGGTGCCTTGGCGCGGCTGTGCGGCTTTCACATCCTCTGCAGAAGACGTTTATCCAAACCTCTGTTTTTAACCTTAGCGGTGAGACAAGTTTTTTTGCATGCTGGCTGGTGAGTGTGCCGGGAAAACTTTTTGCTGTTGTACTGTATTAGGCCCTTCCATGTGCACATTGCTGTAAAGCCGTTAACGAACTGATGAGTGCGTTTGCCATTTGTTTTGCTTGTCTGGTGATCACAGGACCCCAAACACAGCATTGGGGGAAGTGCTGGTACCTAAAGTTCTCTCTTAAAGGGAAAGCATCGAGTGTTGTCACCGATCACATGACTTGGGTTATAAGTGGCGTATTTTGTTATTTTATTGAATAAAGAAATTTGTAATGTGTCCTCCATTCATCCCTTTAGATTGTAAGCTCTCAGGGGCAGGGCCCTCCTTACCATCTTGTCTTGCATTGTGATTGTAATATCTTCCTTATATTGTGCCAGGTACCCCATCCACGCTCCATTGCTGTCCCCAGCTTCCTCCCGGAACCAGCGCCGGATGTCCTCTTTAATGCCCATTTCCTGTGAGCCCAGCCTGTCATTGACACCCCTTCCCCCAGGGGGAGTATCACCAACCCCCTACCCCCCCTCCCAGAAGAAGAGGAAGCAGCCATGACATCACCGGACCGGCAGTTAAAGGGTGTGTATCATTTTTGGTCTTTCTTTATTTTGGCGATCTTCCACGTTCTGTATTCCCCCCTCACGTGTCACACGTCACTTTTTCGGGGCTTCGATTTGGTGGACAATTCGGAGATATTTTATTCCTTTGGTTTTTATTGGGAATAAATAATAATTAGGAAACGTCGCGTTTGTATCTGGTGATACATTGTGACGCACGAGGGGCGGAGACTGTTACTGTAACATTAGGATGAGTGACAAAAGCGCAAATTAGCACGACGGCGACTTTTTTCACAGGTCTGAGATCACCGCGCAGAGGTTTTAGGTGTTTCATATCGTGTCCTATTATCAGACTTTAGATTGTAAGCTCCTCTGGTTGGGATCAGACATTAGATTGTCAGCTCCTCTGGTTGGTATCAGACTTTAGATTGTCAGCTCCTGTGGTTGGGATCAGACTTTAGATTGTCAGCTCCTGTGGTTGGAAGCTGATATGGTCTATATCTAGTCCCTGTTGTGAAGTGAGGACTCTCTCCCAGGGCTGTCGGTGGTACAGAATCTATAGCGATGTCATCGCCTGGTGTGGAGGGATGTGATTTCGTCCCCCCCCTACATCTGATGACATGAAGCCGCCCCCCGCAGTGTCCGGTCCGCTCCTGGCACTGACCATTGTCATAGTGGGGGGAGGGGGACTCCCAGTGTTTGCTCTGCTCCCCCCTGTAGATCGCTGTAATCTGAGTCTGCCAGTTAGAAGGCGGCTCTGCCCGTTGTAGATCGGCTGTGCCCCTCCTATCACCCCTCCCCCCTGCATTTCAGCTGATACTTTCCGTGCGGAGCGGAGACGAAGCGTTGCGGACGGACATGCGATAAGGCGGCTCAGCATCGTACCGCACCTTACGGAGCCATGTTTGGTAAGTACAACTTTTACACTTACAATATCGCAGCGGTAACGATCTTTATGGCGGAGTGACCCGGTCCGGGTGTGCGGGGTGTCCTGGCAGTATCTGATTGTATCTCCTCTGGTTGGGATCAGACTTTAGAGTGTAAGCTCCTCTGGTTGGGATCAGACTTTAGATTGTAAGCTCCTCTGGTTGGGATCAGACTTTAGAGTGTAAGCTCCTCTGGTTGGGATCAGACATTAGATTGTCAGCTCCTCTGGTTGGGATATTCACACCAATCAGCGACGCGCGTTTCAATGCGTTGCAATGCGCTTAGTACTGAACCGTGCGTCATTGTGTGGCGGCGTCTATGGCTCGCACACACAGGCGCTTTGGGGCGTCAAATCTTTCTGCGTCCTGGACGCTCAGCTTGTGCATACTGCCGTGGTGTACGCCGGTACTTGCGCAAGCCGCGTATAGCGTACGGATGAATTCCCTGAACGCGGGGCGTGTGTACGCATCTGCTGAGCCTTCCGGACGCAGAAAAATGCCCAAATTATGCTGCCGTGGTACCCAATGCGCCTGTATGCATGAGTTAAGGAGCGTGTTGAAGCGTTTTTATCCAAGTCTAATGTGCGTTGTGTGTAGTGGGCATTGATATGCGTTTTCCTTGTTGCATTGATGTGCATTTTGGGTTTTGTTACATCAGAAGCCAAAAAATGTCTCCTTATTGTGAGCTGTGACACGTGCGTCGGCTTTAAATGCATGTTGGCCGGGATTTCGGCTTTGCAATGTACGCGGTGTAAGGGCCTCCCGTTGAGACACAGGCGTCCCGGTGCGTTGCATGAAGGACGCTCATTCGTATGAATGGACGGGCAGCGCACTTGAACGCCCCAAAATCCCAGACGTGAGCAATTTTTGGCGACGCAGCACACCACACTGCTACACGGTGCTATGTAACTGTGCGTTGTGGTGGGTTGCAATGCATGTGTATTCCCTTACTGTGTTGGGGGGCCATTGACAATGAACAGTGCTGACCCCTCCCATCGCTCCTGGTGTCATAGGGCTCAGCAGGGTGAACTACAACCCCCAACGTGTAGATCTGAACCCACAGCATGCTGAGCTTCCTATGTCCACCACAGTGTGTTCACGATCCACACTTATCTGGAAGTCATTCTTCAGTGTTACATTGTAGTCATCGCTTTGCTGTTCCGTATTTCATATACAGGTTTGTAAGTGCTCCCTCTAGTGGTCATCTGTTTATGGGGGATGGGGGGTTGACTGCTGAGATCAGAGGGACAGTCCACCTCCAGGTAGTAGATGCAGCAACGTGGACCTTCTGATCGATGTGACCTGATTACTTGTGTGCACTGAAGCCTGCAGAGCGTGGCGTCGGCGAGCGGTGTGCAGTCTACGAGGTGCAGGCTCTTGCAGTGTCGTGTCTGTACAGTGGTATGTACCTTCTATTGTGGGGCCGGAGGAAGTGGTGGACTATAACTCTGGTGACATCTCCGCCCTGCTGCTGGTGCTACGTTGAGTCGCTGTACTGCGGTGGTAGATTGGACTTGTAGCAATGTTGGTGCCGATCCACGTGCCGTGATTCAGCTCGGGGTGCAGATTGGGGTTTGGGAATGCTGTGTGCAACCGTACAACCTAAATATGTCAACCTCAAATGTCTACGGCCAACTGGCACAGTCCACCTTGAAGGCCACAGTTCATGTGACACCAGAGGTGGTCAACCTTGGTCCCAACTGGCACAGTCCACCTTGAATTCCATGATTGATGTGACACAATAGATAGGCAACCTTGGTCCAACTGGCATAGTCCACCTTGAAGGCCACAGTTCATGTGACATCAGAGGTGGTCAACCTTGGTCCCAACTGGCACAGTCCACCTTGAAGGCCAAGGTTCATGACAGCAGGGGTAGGCAACCTTGGTCCTCCAGATTTTGTGTAACTATCCATGAGGCATTGCAAGCCCCTGACAGCCACAGGCATAACTCCCACAGGCAGTGGCATGGTGGGATTTGGAGCTTCACCAGAGCTGGAGTGCAGAGGTCTCTTATCCCTGCTGTCACATGAACGGTGGTCTTCAAGGTGGACTGTGCCAGTTGGAGCTAGGTTGCCCACCTCTGGTGTCACATGAACCATGGCCTTCAAGGTGGACTGTGCAAGGTGTACCAAGGTTGCCCACCTCTGCTGTCACATGAACGGTGGCCTTCAAGGTGGACTGTGCCAGTTGGGACCAAGGTTGCCCACCCCTGGTGTCACATGAACTGTGGCCCTCAATGTGGACTGTGCAAGGTGGACCAAGGTTGCCCACCTCTGCTGTCACATGAACGGTGGCCTACAAGGTGGACTGTGCAAGGTGGACCAAGGTTGCCCACCTCTGGTGTCACATGAACGGTGGCCTTCAAGGTGCACTGTGCCAGTTGTAGCAAGGTTGCCCACCTCTGGTGTCACATGAACCATGACCTTCAAGGTAGACTGTGCCAATTGGACCAAGGTTGCCCACCTCTGGTGTCCCATGAACTGTGACCTTCAAGGGGGACTGTGCCAATTGGACCAAGGTTGCCCCCCTCTGCTGTCACATGAACGGTGGCCTACAAGGTGGACTGTGCCAGTTGGAGCTAGGTTGCCCACCTCTGCTGTCACATGAACGGTGGCCTACAAGGTGGACTGTGCCAGTTGGAGCTAGGTTGCCCACCTCTGCTGTCACATGAACGGTGGCCTACAAGGTGGACTGTGCCAGTTGGAGCTAGGTTGCCCACCTCTGCTGTCACATGAACGGTGGCCTACAAGGTGGACTGTGCCAGTTGGAGCTAGGTTGCCCACCTCTGCTGTCACATGAACGGTGGCCTACAAGGTGGACTGTGCCAGTTGGAGCTAGGTTGCCCACCTCTGCTGTCACATGAACGGTGGCCTACAAGGTGGACTGTGCCAATTGGACCAAGGTTGCCCACCTCTGCTGTCACATGAACTGTGGCCTTCAAGGTGGACTGTGCCACTGCCGTGGCTCTCAGTCACTGCTGCCACAAAAAAATGTAAAATCCTAATAAAAGCTTCCTGCGGCAGGAGAGGTGTAATACTCGCCCCTCCCGCGGCTTCTGATTGGGATCTTTGCCGTCTTCATGAGCCCCATTGTCTGCAGATCTCAGTGTATTATAGATTCCACAGATCACCGGCAGGCCCCCCTCTTCACTCCCAGCAATCCCGGGTTCGTGGCCGTGCCACATTCTTCACATTTGTCCGCTTGCGGTGAAGTTTACGTCCAAGGTTCTTCACCGGCTCAATCTGATGCAAGCTGATGTTAGGAGGGACCCCACAAAAATAAAATGCGTGGCCCTTTACCAGGCCCTTTAGGTCACCCAAAAATGGGAAAAAGTGGGGTCCCCCCTAAAATTCCTAACAGACCCTTGATCAGAGCACAGGGGTACCCCTTTAATTAGATGCCACCCCCTGCCCCTTGTGAATGAGTAAGGGGTACTTATACTCCTACTCATTCACTAAAGGGCTAAAAGTAAATAAACGCACATTCTAAAAGTCCTTTAATTGACAAAAACACAAAACAAAGTCAGTTTTTGACAATTCCTTTATTAAAAAAAATAAAATGTCTATTTAGTGAATTGGTAGGGGTACAGGTACGCCCTCTTCATTCAAAAGGGGGGGGGGGCAACATCTGGGTGCCCCCTTATTTAAAGAGGTACCACGATGCAAATAAGCCCCCTTGCCCGCAGACCCCCACAACCACCGGGTCAGGGTTGTGGGGAAGAGACCCTGGTCCCCGTCGTCATGGAGACACTCCTCCCAATGCCGAGGGCACGTGGCCTGATATGGCGCAGGGAGGGGCTAAAAATTAAAACAAAAGTGCGTGGGGCAATATTTGAAGCGGGAACATTCCTAGCAGACATAAAGGGTCTGGTATAAATTGGAGTAGAACCTCACGCACTTTTTTTTTTTTTCTGCGGACTGTAAAAAAAAAAAAGATTTTTTCTTTTTTATGTCTGATGTCATTTTGCGGCAATGAAAATTCTTAAATACTGCCGCGGTTATCTAAATTCGGATTTTTTTTTTTAAGTTGATGCTTCACACAAAAAAAAAACTTCATTCGGGAAAGAAATTCGGAGGCAGACGAAATTTTCCTTATTGGAAATTCGTATTTGTTTGCATTCGTTATTTCTGTCATTCGGAAATTGGTACACATCCGAATGTACAAATATTTCCGAAACGAGTCGCACATGTCCGGTCCATCCTGTGGGCGTCTTCTAGTAAGAATCCTCTAGAGGGATGTGGTTATTAGCAGTGGGATGGAAATTCAAATATTTATAAAATGTAATAATAGTAGTAATCATAATAATAATAAAAATCGATTTCTTTTATATTTAATCTATATTTTCTATATTTAATCCATATTCATTTTCTATATTTAATCCATATTCATTTTCTATATTTAATCCATATTCATTTTCTATATTTAATCCATATTCATTTTCTATATTTAATCCATATTCATTTTCTATATTTAATCCATATTCATTTTCTATATTTAATCCATATTCATTTTCTATATTTAATCCATATTCATTTTCTATATTTAATCCATATTCATTTTCTATATTTAATCCATATTCATTTTCTATATTTAATCCATATTCATTTTCTATATTTAATCCATATTCATTTTCTATATTTAATCCATATTCATTTTCTATATTTAATCCATATTCATTTTCTATATTTAATCCATATTCATTTTCTATATTTAATCCATATTCATTTTCTATATTTAATCCATATTCATTTTCTATATTTAATCCATATTCATTTTCTATATTTAATCCATATTCATTTTCTATATTTAATCCATATTCATTTTCTATATTTAATCCATATTCATTTTCTATATTTAATCCATATTCATTTTCTATATTTAATCCATATTTTTCTATTTATTCTATAGTCATTTTCTATATTCCATATTTTTCTATATTTATTTTCTATAATCTATTTTTTAAGTATAAAAATATAGATTTA